TATTTGGAATAAGTAGACATTAGGAAAGCACCTCAGAAGCACGAGCAGCGGGTAAGACGCGGCTTTTTGATCAACATCTCAGGCAGCTGGCGCCTCATCATTGACGAGCACATAGCTGAAGGGAGCATCAGGGGGGCAGCGGTGAGCAAATGAGAAGGTCAGTCTATATCTTCTGCCACTTCTCCTAACGCCAGGCTCAACGGAGGCACTACGACTCACCGGAAGCGAGGTTTGCCAGCGACCATGTCCTGCACGACTTGATTGGTGTCCTTGAGAGACCGCTTTTCGATCATCAATTCAGGTTTCTTGTCCCTGACCATTTCCAGCATCTCCTTGAGCTGAGCCTTGCCAGCTATTGCGCTTCCGCCAATGTTTGCTCCAGAGAAGAGGATTGGCCAAGCAGGGATGGCAGGCCAAGGACCTTCGGGAGCTGCAATGTTGACCACATGACCTCTGGGTCTGCACATCATCACGTACTTGTCGAAGGGAGATTCCGTGTTCGCAGCAGTGTTGAGAATGACATCGAAGAACCTGTTGTACTTTTTAGACGCCTCATCGCCTTCATCCTTCCACGCCACAAAGTCTGTCGCTCCCAACTTTAGGGCTTCTTGCTTCTTGCTAGCTGTAGAGGAGATGGCGACGATATCCGTTGCTCCAAGCGCCTTGGCGAACGCGATGCCGAATGCGCCAATGCCACCGATACCAATGATCGCCACGCGCTTCCCATCCGGTCCTCCAACGCCATAGTCGCGCAAGGGCGAGTAAGCGGTAGCGCCTCCGCACATGATGGGTGCGGCCAGCGCTGGGTCGAGACCGTCGGGAATCTTGATGGCGAGGTAGGCTGAACCGCGCCACTTGAGTGCGTAGCCTCCCATCGACTTGCCAGATCCGTCGCTGGTTGCATACACACAGAGAGAGAGAGGGAGGGAAGCCATGGTGAGTAGGAGGATGACAGTGCTGACAAAGATGACAAAACGATACGCGATGACAACTCACGGGTAGTTGCCTTGGTATGTGTTGGTAGCTCCAACGTGGCAGTAAGACTGCCTGTCGCTCCTGCAGAGCTCGCACTTTCTGCAACTGTCGGTGATGGCACCGATGCCCACCACATCGCCCACTTGGATGGGGTCATCGACTTCTTTTCCCACGCGAGTCACCTTGCCGACAATCTCATGTCCCACAACGGTTGGGAAGTCTGCTGGACCCCAGCCATTACGCATGGTGTGAATATCGGACCTGTGCGAGTGCGAGCAAGAAAGGAGTCAGAGTTGTCTGTCGACCATTCATCGAGCAGCTCCTACCGCAATGTTGCACACTCACGCGCATACACCGCAAGCAATGACATCCAGCTCAATGTCAGTCTCGGTCCAGTTCTTGGGCGTGAACTCTGTCAGGGAAGAACAGGTACAGGTAGAGTGAGCATGCAGTGTGTCGACGAGACCGGTCACGGCTCTATTAGGCTGAGTGCTCACCCTTGAACGTCAGGTTGCCCTTGACGGAGTCTGGGCCGTCTGCGACCCATCCCATGAACTTGTCGTTGGCAGTCATTGTGTTGGAGCAAGATAAGATTGGTGTGCGGTTGTTGGTGTTGCGTGATCAGACTTAGAGTTTGGGGAAAAGTGGACTTGACTGGGTGCAAAGGGTTGGCGTTTGAAGGAAGGGCAGGTCACAGCACGACCTCACATATTTGTACACCTCGCCTACAGCAACACCACCACGAGCAGCTAGACAGCACGTAAGCTGACTTGACCTCTGAGTGTCCAACGGACATGCCTGCGGCCGGCCCGACGGCAGCGTTGCAAACGTAGCTGTGTGACTGCATGTATACTATGGGGCCTGTGAATGGTGATACATTCAAGATTCACCATTGTGGAGGTGCTGTGCCTGTGCCTGTGCCAGTGCCTGTGCCAGTGCCAGTGCCAGTGCCAGTGCCAGAGAGATCTTGCAAGCACTGCATGCACAAGAGAGCAGCACAGACTACAAAACAGCTTCGGTCAAGCAGCCACAGCCAGGTACATCATGGCCAAGCGCGGAAAGAGGAGAAGATGTGCGCGAGTCAAATCACGAGTGTCGGACGACATCAGAAAGTGCCGCAGGTCAGAAGAGACAGTGTGATAACAAGTAGGGAGGGTATGTACTGTACAGTACCGGTACAGTGCTGCAACGCGGAGAGCTAGCTGCGAGCGAAAGCAGCCGCTTGCATCACAGAAGCGGCTTTGCATGGAGACCTCAGAACGCATAATGTGACGCATCGTGGCTGCAACGGCTGCAGAGCTCTGCTCTCAAGAAGGGTGACTGACTGCCATGCGATGCGCAACCTCCACATCGACTTGCCATCCCCGCCGCTTTGCGTGGGTTCGGAGTTGCAAGATGGAACTTCTGTCACGCCGAGCAGTCAAGTCGCAGTCACGAGTGCCGGCTGCAGCACCGAAGTGCAGGAAGCGATCGATTTAGATCGTGGAAGGGAATCGTGAATGTGAATGAATCTTGAATGGATGGACGGACGGGTGAATCGTGAGTCAAGAGTGTGAGTGCTTCAAAGAATCGTGCTTGATTGAATGAATCACATGAATGGAGGAATCGTTTCAAGCTTGAGGCGGCGCTGCAGAGGGAGGGGCCCTTCTTTGGGCGACTCGTGATGGTCGAAGAAGAAGAAGAAGAGGCAGACGTGGTGAGTGAGCGAGCATCCAGGGTCACGACTGGTTATGTATGTATGTATGTATGTATGTATGTATGTATGTATGTATGTATGTATGTATGTATGTATGTATGTATGTACCGTATGTGATGCTTGATGGTCGAGGAATATGTTTACCACCTCAAAACATCCTCCTCAACAAAGGGCCCCACGCTTCTCCAGAGCAGTACACAATCAGTCGAGATCCGGGAATAGCTGTTGGATGTGCATGTCTACCTTGTCGAAGCGCACCAGCATCCGAGCATCCTCCATCTCTTCTGCCGTAAGGCACCACGTTGGCATCCCGCTCGCAGTGTCGCGCGCCAACATGTCTTCCAGCAGCGGCAACAGCGCCCCCTTTGTAGCCCGATGGGCGCCCACTCCAGGCACAAAGCTGCACCTCGGCGCCACAGTGCCCTTGGCGGATGGCAACACAATGCCCCTCTTCGGCATCGGAGCTTGGGCAATGAGAGGCTCCGAGTGCCACTCGGCTCTCTCCCTCGCTTTGGATGAGGTCGGTTATCGACACATTGATACGGCGAGATACTACAGAAATGTGAGCGCAGATGAAGCATGACGCTCGAATAGCTTGGACACAAGCTTCAAAGAGGAGAGGAAGAGAGCATTCGTGTCAGTGCTAACGCCCTCAGCCGGATGTTGGCTGCATGGCTATCGCGCTGCGTCCAGGAAAAGGAGGTGGGCGCGGCTGTGAGAGGCAGCAGAGTCCCTCGAAAGGACATTTTCGTCACGACGAAGCTATTCACCAACGAGTGAGTTGCTGAGGCCGGTGCGCCATCGCCTCAGCTCAACCATTTGAAAATGTCCTTTGATCTTACCCTCTCGCTCCCTCCATTCGTGGCGCACGCAGCATGGGCGGAGGTTCGCGTTCGCGCGCAGCGCTGGATGACAGTCTACGTCAATCGGGTCTGGACTATTTCGACTTGGTGCTGCTGCACGCTCCGGACGGGGGAAAGGAGTTCAGGCTCAACACTTGGCAGACGCTTAGCGAGATGGTGAAAGAGGGCAAAGCGAAGAGT